TTCCGCCCTTGAACTCCTGCGCTGCCTCTTCTTCTTCCTCTCCTCCTCCTCCTCCTCCTCCTCCTGCTTCTTTCTTCCCTCCTCCTCCTCCTCCCCCTCCGCCTCCTTAACTCTTCCTCCTCTCTTACTCCTCCCTCGGGCACCCCCGTCGATCCTCGCGCTCCCCGCCCTCTGCCCCGCGAGGTGAACTCCTCGACGTGGCCGCGAATGGCCGCCCAGCCCGACGCCCGACCGCCCAGCTCGACGCCCGACCGCCGCGAGCCGCAGGGGGGGGCCCTCCTCCGCCTCCTCGGAAGCTTCAGGCGGCTTCCTGGATCTTCGTGGTGCGTCCTGGTGTTTTCTTGCTTTCCGAACCTCCGAAGCATCCCACCATCCCTTTGGGCGTGAGTGGTTTTGAGAGCTCTCTCTGTTCTCAACCCCCCACCCCCCTATCTCCCCCTTCGGGGAGGGGTTTACCCCCCCCCCCCCCCCCCCCCCCCCTGGACCTGGAGAGGGCGGGCCGAGTGGGATCAAGGGGGTCTTTTTCGACTCCTGGGAGGGCCAACAAACGACGACCCTCACGAGGATTCTGCTCTCGAGGGGGGGAGGTAGTTTGGCCCCTCTGCTCTTCTTTGAAGCCAGAATCATTGATTTTACTACGGTTTTGGCCCCATTTTGGCCTTCTGAGGGGGCCGCACTCATCTTCCTTCCTAGCAAAATCATTGATGTTATTCAAGTTTTGGGCTCATTTTGTCCTTCTCTGGGGGCAGCGCTCATTTGCGCTTCTGAGGAGGTCGCAAGAGGCCCCAAGATGGCCCCAAGAGGCCCCAAGAGGCCCCAAGAGGCCCCCAAGAGGCCCCCAAGACGCCCCCAAGAGGCCCCAATAGGCTCCAAGAGGCCCCCAAGAGGCCCCACGAGGAGCCCGAACGACTCACGCCAGGACGAGGGGCCCGAACGACTCACACCACGAAAAGTCCGAACGACTCACGCCACAACGAGGGGCCCGAACGACTCACACCCGGACGAGGCGCCCGAACGACTCACACCACGAGGAGCCCGAACGACTCACACCACGACGCGGGGCCCGAACGACTCACACCACGAGGAGCCCGAACGAGTCACACCAGGAGGAGGGGCCCGAACGACTCGCACCAGGATGAGGGGCCCGAACAACTCACACCACGAGAAGCCCGAACGACCCACACCAAGACGAAGAGCCCGAACGACTCGCACCACGAAGAGCCCGGACGACTCACACCAGGAAGATGGGCCCGAACGGCTCACACCAGGACGAGAAACCCCAAACGACTCAAATCACGAGGAGCGCTTTCTCTCCCTCCTCCTCCGCCTCGTCCTTCTCCCGCTCCCCCCACAAGGAGGATGTGCAAGGGGGCGGGGGGAAGGAGGAACAGGGGAGATATGCGGGGCCAAGCGGACACACGCCTGAAAAAAAACACGACTGTCGGCATGCTTCGCAAGAGTTGCTGCTGTGAGATGGGCTGGTGGGGATGCGCGAAGCGTAAAGAATTCCTGAAGCCTCTGAGGACGTCCCGAACACCAGGACGCACCGCGAAGATCCAGGACGCGCCGGGAGCCGAAGGAGCAGGAGCAGACACAGGAGCAAGAGGGCCAGCTGGAACAGGAGAAGGAACATGAGGAGGAGCAGGAGAAAAGAGGAGGAGGAGGAGGGGGAGGAGGAGGAGGAGGAGGAGGAGGCGAGGAGAAGGAGGGGGGGAGCAGGGAGGACCAGGACAGGGGAAGAAGAGGGAGGAGGAAAAAAGAGGAAAACGCGTTCTAGCGGGCTAATGTCCGCGCGCCGCTGCACTGCAGCAGTTGCGCAGGTAGATGCGCTCCCGCTTTGACATGGTAGCGGCGCCTTAACGCGTTCAACGATAGCTGGACGTAGTGTCTTCTCAAAATGTGGCTTTCACGGTAGCGCCGCACGCCAAAACTGCGCGGGCGTAGGCCGAACTTGTGGCATCAGGGTCTCAACGTTGACAACTCGCAACCCCGCAGATTAGACTCGTTCAAAACGTAACTTTACTATGAAGGTGTATTTCTGTTTTTGCATATAAGATCTATTTATGATGCTGATTTCTATGTTTGGTGCTATGTTGATGCTTTACATGCCAAGATAATATGAAAAAAACAAAGATCTTAGCAACCTCAGGGTAGAGGGCCTGTCAAATTCCCCCCTGCCTGGTTGGCAGCGCTCGGATTTGCCATTGCGGCGATATCTCCCAAACGGAGTCGATTAGTCCTCGTGGTTTGCAGCATCTCTGTTGGCCTCCTCGTTGCGACCCCATGGCTTTTCTTGCGATTCGCCATGCGTTGGTTGCGCTTCTGCCCTGGGCTTGGCGCCGTTCGCCGAGCCCCTGACAAGTTGCCCCCAAACTAGGGCGCGCCCACGTCTTCCTGCGCTAGAGCGACGTGTCCAAAGTGCTTGGTGCGAAGAAGGTCTCCGTCGTGATGTCCCCTCTGAATAGCGCGGTTCGCCCTGCGCCCGAATCAAGAGCCGGGGCGAGTCCCGCGACCGTTGGGTTGAACAGGCACTGACTAGTACGCGGCCATCTGTTCCCCGGGCGCCGGGGTCGCCGTCGTCGCGGCGCTCCATTTTCCAGCGGAGGGCAGCCGCTCACGGTGCGCCCCTCGCCCCCCGCGCAGCTCCAGGGCGCCGCGGCAGTTGTCTTCCGTGACAAAGAGGCGCGGCTGTGATGTCGTGGACGCCGGGGTGTTGGCCATGGCCTCTGGCGCGTGTCCAGCAAGAGCGCGATCTCTCGGCATCTCGGATGGCGACTTCGCGACTCTTCTGCGAAAGATGGTCGCGGTGGTTGTCGCTATCCATCTCCCCCCGTCCATCGCGCAGCGCGCGCGACGATGCTGCGGGCGCCCCTGGGCAGTTCGTCTTCCCGATTGCCCAATGTAGGGCGCCTCTGGCGTGGATGTCTTGAACGGCCCCGCCGCGGCGGTCCGCGTCGAGCGCGGCCCGCCGCGCAGTCCGACGCCAGCGGGGAAATAATATCATCGTCGCCGAGCCGACACGTCGCCGCGCATCTCGCCATCTCTTAATCGTAACGCTCGCGCGCGCGCTCAGCGGCGCGGCGTGTGCAGCTATTCCATGAACTGATATTCGGTAAGATTGCTTGACGCTTGAGTGGTAGCTGCTTGTGCGTATCTGCTGCGTCGCTGGATGCTCCCATGCCAGTCCAAAATGTGCTGCTCGAATTCTTGGTGCAGTTGCACAGTCGTGCTATCAATGTATTGATCGCGCGAGCCACTTGCAGCGGGGTCGGCGTCCTCGGCCCTGATCTTGACATGGCACTGCCTCTCTTTTGCAATGTCTCACCTGAGCTCCAAAACTGTGTTTGTGATGGGGGCCAAGACCCAGAAGTGACCGAGTGATCCATATAATAACCTTATACCTACAACATATTGCGCTGCATCTTGAGTCAGCGTGGTCTGACTCGCTTGTGGGGAACGCGCGTATGCTGGTCTGCTGGTGCATTCACCCGCAGCAAATTCTCATTACCCTTGATGAGATATCCCAAAAAGAATGAGCCATTTGACGCATTGCGTCCGTTGTGACTGGTCCGTTCGCAATCCATGTGGGCACTGTCAGAGTTCGTCGCGAAACATGTGTGCATCTCCTGTAGCCAAGTCTCTTTCATGCAGATTCGTCGACGCGCTCTGGCTGCAACAAGCTGCGGCGGGGCCTGTCCCGTTCCGCGCGAAGTGGACGCTTGGTTCCACTTCGAAGGTTTTGCGCAACGTCCGCGTCGAGCGCAAAACGTCAACACAATGGAAAAGGCATAACATGAGCAGAGCTCCAACCATGGAGCAAAAAACTTCGCCACCAAGTAGAACATGAGGTGGGCGTGTGGGACAAGTGGACGTCGGCGCTGGCGGGGTATGGGAATCGTGTGTGTGCGTGATCTTCGCGCACACACACACACACTTACCTCCACAAAACACGTCCAGAAAACGGGTGCATGGCTGCACGGGCAAATGGGGCGCAAATGCCTTGAACCAAGACGGCAGCGGTCATAAGGCCAGCGTTATGGTTATCGTGGGAGTTTCCCCTTCGACATTATGTTCTCGGCTCCGGAAAGCGGAACCCGAGGTGGCCCAACGAGCCCTTTTGTGCCCAGATGCCCCCCGAAACCGCGAAGAGGCCCCAAAGAGGCGCCCAAGAGGCCACAAGAGGTCTCCACGCCCTCAGTGGCCCGAGAAACCCCCAAGAGATCCTCAAAGGCGTCCCAAGAGATTACAAAACGCATTCAAGAGGACTCCGCACCAAGCACCAGTCGTTCACCACCGTCCACGTCCGCCAACAATTGCGACTCCCCAGGCAGAAGCCGCCCAGGACGAAACGATCTTGAAAACTAATGACAGAGCCCTCAAATGCAGACTCAGTTTTCGAACTAATGCCGAACAAGAGCCACTAAACCATGACGCGCGGACTGGGCGCGACACGTGATGCACGAGACAGCAAACGACGCGAGACACGACACATCAGACACGACGGTACTCAAAGGCAAAACGCGACACGACACAACAACACGTAACATCACATCGCCATAAACTACATCACAACACACGGTACCTAACGACACCACACGCCTCGCCGCGCCACGGTACGGCACGACAGCCACCGCGACGGCCAGGAGCAGGGGAATGAGCAAGAAGGGGACAACCTCTGACACTAACGCTGCAACTTGCGAAACTTGCGCACCGCGCACACCGACCGACGCCATCACGAAGCTCGAGCGCTGACTTGAGCGCGCGTGCGCGGAGGTTTTCGCCAGCCCAGTTCCACCGTGGGGGCACTTGTCTAATGGCGGCCGAACAAGATCACTTCCACATAGTGTTGGTCCTTACACGCTCATCACAATATGATACCTGTGGTGGAGAACACGCGAACCGGACAGGGTCTCGACATTAAAGCAACAGACACTCGGGCGCAGAGCCCGAAGGGCGCCAGGGGGGTCTTGCCGGAGTGCGCACCGCAGGTGGAGCTATTCAACTCAAACAAAAAGTTCTGGCGCGGCGGCGCGGATGCCCTCCTCAGCCGCCCTCTCGTGGGTACCCCGAGCTAGTCCTGGCGGCGCGGGCCGGCAGATACAGCTCTTGGAGGCTATCCTCTGGTCGCCAGGGTCGTAGGCCATAGGCGCGGCATGGCTGGTCAAAGGGTAGTTCGGTCTGGCAGTTCGACGAGAACCCTGGGGCCGTGGGGCACACGCCCCTGCCAACCCTCTCTTCTCCTCACGGATGTCGTTGTCTTCGCCCCTCCTCCTTCCTCAAACCTTCTCCTCCTGCCTCCTTCCTCGTCTTCCTCCTCTCCTGCCTCATCATGTTCCTCCTTTCTTCCTCCTCCCTCCTGCCTTTTGCCTCCTAACTCCTCATCCACCTCCTGCATCATTCGTGACTCCTTCCTCCATCCTCAGGGAGGAAGGAAAAGGGGAGAGAACAATCTACACCACCGCCCCCCTCCTCTTCCTCCTCTTCCTCCTCCTCCTCATCATCATCCTTCTGCTCCTCCTCCTCATCGCCTTATCTCTCCATATCCTTTTCTCCTTCTCTCCTCATGTCCACATATCCTCCTCCTCCTCCGTCTCCCCCTCTCCATTCTCGTCGTGCCCATCCTCCTTCTCCAACAGCTCCTTCCCCCCATCAGGAGTCCCGACCTGCGAGGCCAGGCGAGGAAGGCGTGGCCGAAGATCTACTCCCGCCTCCTAGGGGGGCCCGCACATCAGATGGCAACCACCGAGAGGAAACATGGGCAGCATCGTCCTGCTGCTCTGGCCCCGAAAAGCAGGAGACCCAAACCTGTGCAGCCGCGTGTAACACATGAGATGGTCCTCTCACGGACTGGTCGCCGCAGAAAGGCTGGAATTGGTGGCGTGCAGCAGAGGCGGTCTCAGCACCCCCGGGCAGGCTGCGCGGTCCGGCGGAAGGGGACGAGGAGGGGAGAAGGGGCGGTCCTGCTGCTCTGGGAGCTCGGCTGGGTCTTCAGAAGCCCAGACATCCCAGGGGCCTTGGCGAGAGCCGCTTCGGGGTCGGAGGTTCTCGCGACTCGCGGCCCCCGGCGCCCGCGCGGCTCTGCGCCCCGCCGGCGGCAGCGCGCTGAGCAGGAGGATCGAGGCTACGGCGGCGACTGGGCGCTGGAGCCGCCGCGGGGGCTGGGCCGCCGCCTGACTTCGGACCCCGCCCGCGAAGCCCAGGAGCGCAACTGGGGCCCTGCGGCGGCCCGCCCTGCGCTCGGCATGCGGCTGCAGACTCAGGCCAGGCCAGAGCTTGCAGGGGCCCCGTGGCTGGACGGGTCTTGGGGCGGATGATGCCCAGGTCCGCGGCCGCGCGCGCGCTCGCGGGAGGGGGGGCCCGGAGGCGCCCCCCGCGCGGCTCCGCGATGCGAGCTCGGAGGCGCGCGGGCCCCCGAAAGTCCAACGCCGCTCCTGCTGGCCGAGGCGGCAGTTCCCGGCTCTGCAGTCGAGGCCGCAACACCTGCGAACGACCTGCGCAGGTCGGCCGCGCGCTGGGCGCGCTCCGGAAGCGCCGGGAGCGCGGCCCGCTTTTCCCGCTGGGCGGCTCGCTCGCGGGCGCGGCGGGGCTGGCCCGCGCCGGAGGCCGGCCCTGGCGCGCGGCATCCGCGGTTGGGGCGGTCCTCCAGCGCCTCCCCCGCGGGCCCTGGCGCTGGAGGCCGAATGGCGCTGCAGGCGGCCTCGACGACGGACCGGGGCGCGCCCGCGGCCGCGCCCAGGAGGGCGTCCGCGGTCTGCAGCTGCACGGCGCTCTGAAGGGCGAGCCGGCACCGCGGCGAAGCGCCCCGAAGGCGCCGGGTCCAGCCGTCCGCCGAGGACCGGCGCCTGGGCCCGAAAGTCTGGCTGGCTCCGACGAGGGCGCGGGAGAGGCCTCAGTGGCAGCCCCCCTCCGCGCGCCCCCGTCGGAGCCTTCGCCGGCGAGGCCGCGCTGACCGAACTACGCGCTGCGCGGCCCTCGAAAGCGCGGCGGCGGCCGAGGCCGCGAAGCCGCGAGGGGCCCCATGAGCCGCAGAAGGGCCCGGCGCTGCGGGGCCCTCGGCAGGGGCAGCGACCCCTGCGCCCGACGGGGGTGCCGCGGGCCAGGGGGGAGCCCAACCCTCAGGCCTGCGAGCCAAACGCAACGCGACCAGGCGACCCCCCGCAAACAAGCGGGGCGAAGCGCGCATCCGCCAGGACCAATCAAACATGGAGAAATCGCTAGACTCCGCTTCGGGGGGCCGCACCGCTCGACTGCGAGTCGGGCTGTCAGCCCGGCGCGCGCCAGCTGGCACGCGCAGGCCAACGCAATGCTGAGGACATGGGAAAGCACAGGAGAGCTACTCCGCCCGTGCGCAGTGGCGCACGGGGCAGCTTGTGAGCCCATCAACACTGGACTCCGCACATCGGGGCACCGAATGCATCGGCGCTTGCAGAGGCTCTTAGAGACCGCCGTCTCCAAGAAGATCAGCAACCGCGCCGAGCCGTGGGCGTTCACCAATTACCTGGAACCCACGACAGGGCCACTGCACTACTGGGCGGGAAGCGAGATCACCTGCGTTGGCTGGCATGCGCGGCGCGAGGAGGACAGAAACAGAGCTGGAGCCGAATGCGACCCCTGGAGGATGGTCAAGCAGGCGCTCGAGTAGCGAGGAGGAGACCGAGAGGAGGTGCAGCTGTTCCACCTGAACAGCCACCTGGAGGAGCAGGAGGCCGCAGCGAAGGGCATTCCGAGGGAGCGCTGGGAAGACAACCGCGCCGCCGACAAGTACGCGGATCCAGGGGTTCGGCTGCACGCCATCGCGGAGAACTTGACGAGCTGCTACGAGTGGGCGAGAGCAACGGCCAGCTAGGTCAGAGCCAGGATAGCCGCCTGCACGCAGGACGTCATCAGCAAACGACCGACCGACCTGAAGGCTGCCAGGTAACAGGCCGTGAAGGACAGGATGGCACAAAAGAAGTTGAAGGCGCACTACCCGAGCTCGGACAAACAGCTGAGGCCGCCCACCACGCACGTACTGACACGAGCACGGCGAAGCAGATGATGGACATGCAGATGCTGCAACCAGATGATCACGACGGCGATGGCGCTGCCAGACCCGAAGGACTGTCTCGAGCAGCCATGCGCAGGGCCTCCGCCAGCCGCTGGCAGGGGAACAGCGCCTGTTCTGCACGCAGCTCGCGGGGTCGGCAACGGAGTTGGTCTCGGAGGAGCCGTACACAGAATGCCGCAAGGTCGTGAGCAGTAGCTCCATGAAGTGCACGCTGAAGGGCTGGACGAGGTTCGCCGACGCGGAGGCCCTGGCCAAGGGGCGGGAAGGCGAGCCCTCCGCAGCAGGACCCCAAACCCTCCGCTCCCGCCGAACCCCGCGCGGTCGCACCTCGGAGTGGGGAGGGCCCACGGCGCGGGCCCAGTGCCGACAGCACAGCTGCTGGAGCCGAGGGCGGAACTCCTGCAGCTGCCGCAGACGAAGCCGGGCCCCCGGAGCTGCTGAAGCTGCTGGGGCCGATGGGCCCGCCGAAGCTGTCCTGATGGCACAGCCACACAGCAAAGAGAACAGCAGAAGGCGGCACCTCGCCCCTCCGAGGTCGAACGGGGCGAGCAGTAGGGCGCAGCTCCATCCGGAGGAGGACGCCGGAGCACGGGCGGGCCCGGGCCCGACGCCGCGGAGCCGGTGCACGGGCTGCTGGCCGCCGCGACCGGGGCCGCCCGCGGCTGTCGTCGACGGCCGGCGCCCACCTGGAGCCGACGCCGGGGCGGCCGCGGCTCGCGCCCCCCAGCGGAGGCGGCCTGGCAGCGAGGCCTCACGCGGCCCGCCTCCGAGGGCCCCGCGCCGCGGCACCGTGCGCCCTATGCCCCCGAGAAGGGCGCGGGACGCTCCAGGGCGGGCGCTGCTGCCGCCGCCGCGCTGCACGCCCCAAGCTGACGGGGGGCGCGAGCGAGCGGCGGCGCGGCCGCCGACTCTCCCCGTCCACGGGTGCCCGACGGAGGTGCCTTCTCCTTTCTCCTTTCTTCCCCTCCCCTTCCCCTTCCTCCTCCTCCCCTTCCTCCTCCTCCTCCTCCTCCTCCTCCTCCTCCTCCTCCTCCTCCTCCTCCTCCTCCTCCTCTATGTATGCCATGTCGCCGCCCCCTGGCCTCCTGCCTCCCGCCTCCCTCATCCGTTCTCCCTCTTCCCCGCTGCGTGCTGCGTGCTGCCTGCTACTCCTCGTCCCTCCTCGCCTCTCCCTGCTGCTGCTCTTCTTTGATGCTCCTCCTTTCTTATTCCTCCACCTCTTCACCCTCGCGAAATTCGCCACCGTGCCGCTGGGCACGGAGTGTGCGTGTCCTCAGGGCCGTTGCCTCATCTCCTGAGCCTAGCCCTCGATCCCGAGGGTTCTTACGGGGCCCGGACTCCGAACTCACAAATCTCCTCGGGCTTGCCGTGGCATTCCGCGTGACTGGCTCGTCTGCCCGCGTGATTTTTGTTCGGCCCAAGCCCCAAAACGGGCCAAGAGGGCCACAAGAGGCCCCGAAGACGGTCCAAGAGGGCCCCGCGTCGCCGAACGATCGCCTCAAGACGCTCAAGAGGGCTCCAAGACGCCCCAAGAAGGCTCCAAGAGGCCTCCCAAGAGGCCAAAGTCATTGATCTCCCTTAGTTTTTTGAAAGTCTTTGGCAATATCGCCTTTTCGGCTTCCCGAGGCTCCCAGACTCCCGTAGAGGCCCTCACGATCGCCCCAAGACGGCCCAAGAGGCATCCAAGAGGATCCCAAAGCGGCCCGAGAGGGCCCCAAGACGGTCAAAGAGGCGCCCAAGAGGCCCCCAGAGGCGCCCAAGAGGCACCCAGAGGCCCCCAAGAGGCCCCCAAGAGGCTCTCAAGAAGCCCCAAAGAAGCACCAGAACTGCCCCTCGAGGCCCCCAGGAGCGACCCGAACAGATCCCAAGAAACATTCCTGAGAATTCTGCCCCACAACCCATGCACGGTGGCGGCATGGGCCGAAGGCGATTAAATCCGCCGCCCCCTGTCGATTCATCGCAGGGGCGCCTGGCGTGCTAGACCCTTTCGGTTTTGGTTTTGGCTCTTTTTCCAAAAGAGCTCCCCCTGGCGCTTCGGCCCGTCCCGCCGGGGTCCCGGGAGGATTGCCCAGGACCCCAAAATGAACCAAAAATCTTCCAAGACGGCTCAAGATGGCGTCCAAGACGGCCAAGATGGTCCAGGATGGTCTC